TCTCTCACCTTCCATGCCTCTTAAACTCTCATGAGTGATTCACCTGCTTTTTATTACATCCACCACCCCCATCTCACTGTTTCCTCCCTGGGTCTTTCCTCATACTGGCCACATGACCTGGAGTACCGTCCCATCTCCCTAGCTTGTTCTTCTCCCCCTCTGTCCTGATCTGTCCTTCTTTTTCTTTTTGAGGGTTTTTGCTATAGGACGCGTGCACTCACCAGAGAGACAGAGAGATAGAAAGCGAGAAATTACCCCCCAGGGGGGTTCGCCACGCCGCAATCCCTTCTCCTCCATTCTCCTCTCAGGATCTTGGGCAGCACACATGCCCCGTGTGAGTTTAAGCCACTGGGTCCAGGACTCGAACTGTGGTTGACTACATGAGAGTCCAGTAGCCATTATGCCATCCGCTGGTCCCTGTCCTGATCTGTCTTAAGAGCTTCTGTTTTCTCCTCCACAAACGAGGATGATGATAGCGTCTTCCTTGATCTGTTCGGTGGATAACATTACACAAGATGCAGGAAACAGGCAGTAGGGCTCAGTCCACAACGAGCACGCCAGGAAAGGGCCTTGTCACTTCTGCAGCAGAGTGGGGATGTAGAGGCCCCAGGCAGGGACAGGACAGCTTTGAGAAGGAAGGGACGAGCCCTGCTACCAGGCGTGGAAGAGAAAGGCCCTGCAAGGTGGATTGCTGAGCCAGAAAGCCAGGAGTCAATGAATGCGAGGGAGAGGCACACTGTCAGCCACCTTGGGGAGCCCAGAGCATGCCACAGCCCTAAATAGAAAAGCATCCTAGTGATTGCCATTAGGATGCAGGCTGGGTTGCCTCAGTTTCCCCCAGGTTTGACACAAAACGGACCATGGTGAGTCCTGTTGTAGATGTCCAGCCGTGTCTTCTGGTCTCGGTGAACATTTTCACTTCCCTGGAGCTTCCGCCCTTGTGTATCTTGTGATATGACTTACAGGTCACAGGGTCCTTTGATGTAAACTGTCTCTGTGGATCCCAGATTTCTTGTTTTTGTTTTTGTGGTGAAATGTGCCTAACAAAATCTACCATTTTCACCACCTGGCTCTTCAGCGTGCAGTTCAGTGGCACCGAGTACTCTCACGTTGCTGTGCAACCATCATACCATCCAGCTCCGGAATGTTTTCGTCGTGCATGACGGAAACGTGGTACCCATTGCCCAGGAGCGCCCCTGACCTCCCCAGCCCCCAGCAGCCACCATTCTCCTTTCTGAGTTTGACTGCTAGGGATGCCTCATGGAAGTGCAGTCATGCAGGATCGTCATTTTCTGGCTGCCTTGTTTCACTGAGCATAATGTCTTTAAGGTTCATTCATACCATAGTACATGTCAGAATTAATTCCTTCCTTTTTTTTTTTTTTTTAAGTTTTTGCTACAAGGCATATTCATTCGCCAGAGAGGGAAAGTGAGAAATCATCCCCCCAGGGAGGATACCATGCCACAATCCCTTCTCCTCCATTCTCCTCCTGGGATTTTGGGCATGCATGCACACACGCCTGGTGTGATTTTTCAAGCCACCAGATCTGGGACTTGAACCACTGTCCACCATGTGGGAATCTCTTAACTGCTATCCCACCATAATTCCTTCCTTTTTTACAGTAGAATAATACTCCATTTTTTTCTTTCCACTGGCTTAAAAATAAAAAATTTAAGGTTATTTGATTCCTTCCATGAGTGAGAGAGACAGAGACCATCCCCAATAAGGTCTTAATGCCATGATCCACCCCCACGCTCAACCAGCCCAGATCATGCACATGCTCTGCATACTCAGGAAGTCTCCAGTTGCAAACCTCCCCACATGGGTCAGGCTCACAGAGCATCGCCTTTTACTGCTGTGCCACCTACTGGCCCTTCCATTGTTTCCATCACACTGCATTGTGTTAAACACTCACCCACTGAAGGACACTCAGGTGTTTTCCCCATTTAGCTATTGCAGATAATGCTACCAGGAGCGGAGTGTATAAATATCTCTTTACACCCAGTTTTCAGTTCTTTTGGGCACTTGCCAAAAAGTGGAATTGCTAGACCATACAGTAATTCAATGCTTAATTTTTTTTTCCCCATAAAGTATGTGTGCTCATCATAGAAAGACAAAGACAGGGAAAGTGAGAAATCACCCCCCACAGGGATGGCCACGATGCAATTCCTCTTCCTTCATTCTCCTTTTGGGGTTTTGGGCACACATGCACATATGCCTGGCATGTTTTTTTATCCACGCCATTAGGTCCAGGATTTGAACTGCAGCGAACAATGTGGGAGTCCAGTGCCTTAACTACCACACCATCTGCTGGCCCCTAGGTTTAATTATTTTGAGGAGTTACCATACTGTTTTCCATAGGGACTGTACCATTTTACATTCCCCTAGGGTTTCAGATTCTCTACATCCTCACCAACACTTGCTCTTTTCTGGTCTTTTTTTTTTTTTAATGATGGTGATAGCATGCATGTGAAAGGGAGACAGAGCATGTGAGTGTGTGTGTGTGTGTGTGTGTGTGTGTTTCGGGGGGTCTCGCTATTCTGCAATGCCCTTTCCCTAGCCCTTCACCTCCTTAGGTCCCGGGTGGCCACCTAAGTTTTGAGGCCATTCGAGGCTCTGAGCTCACAGTCGGCCATGTGATCCCCAACCTTGCAGGGCCCTGGCTTTCCTGCTGCCTTAGAGCAGGTGAGCCTCCTTGTGGTTTTGATTTGCATTTCCCTGTTGTAATGACCAATGATGTTGAGCGTTTTTCATGCGCATAGGGGCTATTTTTGTATCTTCTTAGGAGAACTGTCCTTTGCTCATTTTTAAATGGGATTGTTTGGTTTTTATTGCTCAGTCTAGACGTTTTTTTCCTGGACCCAAGGAAACGACACCTCTTACTCTTCCAGCCACTGCTAATAGTAACCACAATGATAGGAGCTCTTATTGAACACTTATGCCATCCTTGCTCCAGCTGAATGTTCACGTGAGGGCTTTTTCCATTTTATTTTTTTTTATTTATTTATTTTTAGGTACTAGCCATAGGGCTCATCCACTTGCTGGAGAGAAACAGAGAGACCATGAGAAGGAAAGTGAGAAATCCTCCCTCCCAGGGAGAATGGCCATGCCACAATCCCTTCTCCTTCATTCTCTTCCTAGGACCTTGGACACATACACACACACACACACACACACACACACACACACACACACACACACACAGTCTGGCATGATTTTTAAGCCAGTCCAGGACTCGAACTATGGTTGGCCATGTGGAAGCTCAGCACCATAACTACCATGCAACCTATGGACCCTACCCCTTTATGCCTCACAACAATCTTTTGAGAAAAATATTGTGGTCATCACCATCTTATGCTCGAAAATATCAAAGCCTAGAGGCCTTGCCCAAGAATCACATCTAGTATGAGGGATCTTCGTATAGTTCATGGATCATGTATAGTGTGAAGAAGCTATGTATTTTTTTCAAGCTTTTTTGCATCAAAATAAACTCATATTTTACTTCTATTTTTTTCCCCAAACTATTTTTTAATTACTAGAGGGTGTATTCTAGAGAGGTAGAGAAATAGAGATAAAGAGAAAGGGAGAGGGAGAAATACCCCCTAAAGGGGCATAATTGCATTGCAACCCCTTCTCCATCCCATTGGGATTTTCAGCATGCATGGACCTCGTATGTTCTTCAAGCCACCAGGGCCGGAATTCTAACCACAGTCTTCTGTGTGGGATCCAGCTCCCTTAACTACTGTGGCAAGGGGGCTGGCCTGCCATAACCTGGCATAACTAGTGAAACAACAGCTTAACTCTGATCTGACTCCACCCTTAGATAATAGTACTGGTTTCTTTTTGGGGGCAAGGTTTTTGCTATAGGGCGCGTGTGCTCACCAGAAAGGCAGAGAGAGACAGAAAGTGAGAAATCACGCCCCCCCCCCAACACACACACCCTGGAGGTATGGCTACACCACAGTCCTCTCTCCTCTATTCTCTCGTGATCTTGGGCATGCACACACATGTGCCCAATGTGAGTTTAAGCCACCGGGTCTGGGACTCGAACTGTGATCTATTGACTATGTGGGAGTCCAGCGACATAGCCATTATGCCAACTGCTGGTCCCAGTACTGGTTTCTTAACACCCACACCCAGGAATTGATATTTATTAAAGCCTTTTCATCTGTACCCTCAAGAGAAGTGATCATTGAAAGAAAATCACCCAGGCCTCAGCACCCGTGTCTCTCTAGAAACCCTTGTCTGGTTCTATATGAAGACTCAATGTCTAAAATCCCAAAGTGTGCATCTAAAAGCAAGCACAGAAGTCCGCTGCGTCCCAAGTGCCCAGTCTGTTCCAGAAAGTTCTCTAAATGAGATGATCGTGTCACCAAGGATCTGGTACCCTGCCTAAACTCACTTAGTTAGTGCATGAAGTATTGCTCATGGAGTCTGGTCCTTTCTTCCCTTATAACTCACAGCGGTGTGGTCCTCTGGCCCTTGTCCCCTGAGACGCCTCATTGCCCTCCCTTCTCAAAGGTTGGTGGTCATGAGGATCGAGTAAAGGCCGGAGACCTCCATGGTGATACTCTGGGGCACCAGCTTTCCAGCCTGGACAGGTCTGGTGGTTCTTTGAGTGAGAGAACATTCTCCATTCTTTTTATGTTGATTGTTATCTGGCCTTGAGTTCATACAGCTGGGCCTGGGGCCGGGGCCAGAGCTGTGACTTAGGGTTGGGGAGAAATTGGCAGAAATATTCCCCAGCGGTGCTTGGGCAGGCCCAGGGAGTCCCGCCTAAAATCCAGTGGACAAAGCGGCTCTTGTCCACGGCCCGGAGGTGGGAGGCATCTGGTCAGTGACACAAGCTTGGCTATTGTGTGTCGTGACCTCGGCCAACTTTTCTTAGCTGAGAAAGGGGAAAGAGCGAGAGCGTGGAAAAAAAAAAGGTGAAAAGCTTCCAGAAACTTTGTATCTGGAAAGTCCAGAATGAGTTGTTGATTTCCCAACGAGCACGGGAGCAGATTTGGAAGGAACTGTGCAACGTAGTGGGTTCTTTGTGAAAGCACAGCAATGAGAAAAGCCACAGCAACATCCTCCGGGTGCCCAGAACACGGGCCCCGGGGCAGCTGTGCGCCTTAGCCCTGTTTTCTGCAGAGGGTGCAAAACTGGAAGTGGCGTGGCCCTGAGGCTGGGGCTTCAGACGACACCCAGGACTCTCCTCCGAGGTAGCAGCCCCTGGAGAAGATTAGCCGTTCTCTGATGGTAAGAATCCATTCTGCTCGCCTGCAGAAGTGTGCTCAGCTGGCTCTTGGCCCGTCCCTAACGTGACGTCGACATTTTAAAGAGGTAGTTTGGAAATCCTTCTGAGGATTGGGCTCTAGCTGTGTGGCGTTTGGAAGATCTCAGCAGGCTGCATGGGCGGGTTGGGGGGCATTTTTCTCAGAGGCCCAAGGCACCGGCAGAGAGAAGACCTGGCTGTTGTATGAGAAATCAGAAGAGGATGGGAAAGGATTTGCGAAGGGCTGTGTGGAGGGGAGTCTTGGCTGCCCCGGGAACAGAGTAGATGGAGGTGTGTGATGGAGAAGCAGAAGGGTGATGTGGATTTATCTTCTGGGGATTGGAGTCCAAACCTTGCTTCCTCCTTCTAACTTTGCCCAAATATGAAACTTAGCATCTAAGCAGATGCTGGTTTTGTATCTGTCTGGTTGCTTCTACCTGACGGCCTAATTCCACCTGGGATGCTGCAAGGCCTTGTGGGAATGATACAGCCCCCATGACGGTGAGGCATGCTGCCGGTTCCCCAGAAATGGTTGAGGGAGTTGGGGGTCTGCTGGGTGGCATGGGTCCAGATGTGGCTGAAGCGTTGATGACAAAGGCTTTCTGAGACTTTGTGGCAGGATGGCCTTGTTTCACCAGCCTTTCCACCTTCAGAAGTTGGGCCTCCCCTTTCTTTGGAAAATGAGACTTCTCAGCTACAAACTTTTGGCAACAGCTCTCGGGTGGCTGTGCGACCTGCAAGAGGTCCGGTGTACAGAGAAAGGCTAGTCGGTTTCTGCGCCTGATCTCCCTGGAAGACCCGGTCTCCTACCTGGCTGGGCCAGTTGGCACCGCTGATTTTGGTGTGGCATCCAAGACAGGCCTGACCCAGTGCCAGGAGAAGAGAGGGTGCTTGTTAACCAGGAGCACCCTCGAACGGGCCAGTTGGCTTTCTAGAAAGGTCCACGCAGGGCTTCGCCAAGGTTAATGTGCACCTGAATTCCCTGGGGACCTTTAAAACGCAGAAATCTGCTACTGGGTGTGGCCTGTGGCTACATTTCTAGCCAGCTCCACGCTGCTAGTGCAGAGACCACCCTGGAGGATTACTGCCGCAAGGAGTCCAGCACTGCCCGTGTTACTGCCCAAGATCTGACTGCCAAGTGCTGGGAGTCCTGGCAGGTCGGGCTGTGTGTGGATTGTGGCGGGAGGTTCCGGGGCAGGAGAGAAGCGGAGAGGGCGGGCATAAAGGGCAGGCATGGAGCTGGGAAGAGCTCGCATCAAGCTCTTGGAGAAGGGACGTGTGGGGTGCAGATGCAGTTGGGAGTCATTCCCCAGCTGAAGTGGACTCTGTTTGGGGCACAGTGTGAGTGGTGAGCCAGATTCCCTATCAGCTAGCGAGCCCCACCTTTGGTGTGTGTGGTGTAAATTCTGACTTTGGAGGGTGACAGTCGATGGATGTAGAGACAGGAGCCCGTGGTGCTAGGACAGATTCCAGTGGCCAGGCAAACAGAGCTCGGGTCTTGAGTGTGGCTCAGGGAAGTGACAGCAGAAGGATGGACACAGGGCTGTCAGGACAGAGGTGGAAGCAAAGCTGCAAGGTGGCCTCAGGTGTTTGGGGCATGGGCCTCATTCGAGGAACAGGCTCCAGCATCTGAAGCGTACGTCTTTGTTGAAATGTCACTTTTTGTTTCCTCCTACAAAAGTGGCACATCCTTAAAAGAGGTAAACTAATACTGATATTTAGAGTCATCAAGTATTAGGCTATGCATATTAAAACTAAGCCCTTGGAAACCATCTGGTTCAACTTCTGCATTTTAGAGATGAGGAAATCGAGGCCTCAGCCAGCAGAGATGAGAAGGATTGCCCAAGAGCTCACAGCAAGACTGCGGCAACTTCAGACCTGGCTTCCAGGCCCCCCATTTTTATTATTATTATTATTATTATTATTTTTGAGAAGTTTTTGCTATAGGGCGTATGCACTTGCCAGAAAGACAGAGAGACAGAAAGTGAGAAATCACCCCCCAGGGGGGATGGCCACGCCGCTGTCCCTTCTCCTCCATTCTTCTCTCGGAATCTTGGGCACGCATACACATGTGCCCAGTGTGAGTTTAAGCCACCGGGTCGAGGACTCGAACCACAGTCGACTACATGGGAGTCCAGCAACATAGCCATTATGCTAATTGCTGGTCCCAGAGAGCCCCTGCGCCCCGTTTTTATCGCATGTGTTTTGCATGGTGCCGTGGGGCATGGAAGATCCCAGACCTCAACAGTGAGGCCCGTGGCTGTCTGATTTGTACACATCCATAGCAGAGGTTCCAGAAATGCCAACCCAATTAGGATGGTGGAATCGCACCCTTTACTAACTGGGAAACTGTTCAGCCCCTGTTTAGTCTTAATCTCCCTCCAGTGCTCATGGTTCAGAGCCAATTAGGAACTGTCTCTCCGAGTCAGAAGTCTTTGATTAGAATCACTTGGAGCACAGGCCGTCAGCACTGCAGAGTCACTGAACAAGTCTCCATGGTGAAAAGACTCGCTGCTTCCGTTTTCTTTTGGTGCCCGCAGGCCCACTGCAGCCAGCAGCTAGCAACCGCAGAGCCAGGCCAGCTGGATCGTGGCCACGGGCAAGCCTTCAGAGGCATCCACCTTTATGCCCTAATGAGCTCCAGCCTGCCTGTCTTGAAAACGGCACCAACTCCCCGAGGAAGCCTGCTTTTGCCCCCTGGAGCATCTGTGGGTAGCAGCTGTGTCACTTGTGCTTGAAGTCGCATTCTGGTGGGCAGGCTGCTTTGCATGAGATCCGAGCTTGCAACGTACAACCCCCTTCCTCACTTCTGCACTTCTTCAATCCATGTGAGCCGAACAGACTGCTTGGTAAATTTGGTTAGAGAGTTTTCTTCCAAGGCCTAACAACTTTAGAAAGTGCTAGAAACAATGCAGAAGGCATTTTGGGGGTTTTGTAAAAGGAGGACAAGGGACCATGTTATGCAGTACAGATGCTCTTCGGCTTATGATGGGGTTTGTCCTGATAAACCCGTTGTAAGTTGACCTAAGCTACCAAACCCAAGCTACCATCATAGCTTTACTTATCCTACCTCAAATGTGCTCTGAGCACCTCACGTCGGTCTGCAGTCGGGCAAAATTACCAAACACAAAGCCCAGTTTATAACGAAGTGCGGGGCATCTCATGTAATGGGGTATAACATTTCGTGAGTACTGTACTGAAATAGGATGGTTCTATGGGCCCTGGAAGGGCACTTTCTACTGAACGCACGTGGCTTTCACACCACCAGAGTTGAAAAGTGTGAAGTCGAGCCGTCCTTAAGTCAGGCACTGTCTGTCTTCCTCTCCTTTCCTTTCCCCCCTACCCTTTTTTTTTTTTCTTGAGAGGTTTTCGCTATAGGGCGCGTGCGCTCGCCAGACAGACAGAGAGAGACAGAGAGACAGAAAGCGAGAAATCACTCCCCAGGGGGGATAGTCACGCCGCAATCCCTTCTCCTCCATTCTCCTCCTGGGATCTTGGGCACGCACGCACACGCACCCGGCATGAGTTCTAAGCCACCGGGTCTGGGACGCGAACCGCGGTCGACCACGTGGGAATCCAGCAACATAGCCATTACGCTAACTGCTGGTTCCCCCCCTCCCCACCCTTTTTTCTTTCTTCCTTTCTTTCTCTTTTGTTCAACACTAAGTATTGGTAAAACCCTGTCCTTCCCAGGTTTACCTCTACAAAGTTTTTTTTTTTTTTTTCTCTTCTCCTTAAGAGGTTTTTGCTATAGGGCACGTGCACTTGCCAGAAAGACTGAGAGAGACAGAGAGATAGAAAGCAAGAAATCCCCCCCCAGGGGGGATGGCTATGCTGCAATCCCTTCTCCTCCATTCTCCTCTTGGGATCTTGGGCACGCACGCACACGCACCCGGCATGAGTTCTAAGCCACCGGGTCTGGGACGCGAACCGCGGTCGACCACGTGGGAATCCAGCAACATAGCCATTACGCTAACTGCTGGTCCCTTTACCTCTACAAAGGGAAATTTGATCAGGAATGATTTAGAGAGAACTTCACCTTCCCGGGAATTCCTTAGGGAAGTGTGTTACAGTGAATGGTCTTCAAAATGGCTGGCAAAAGTGTCTTTGAGGGCAGGACCATTGTAGATAAAAACCAGCACAGAAACTCGAGGATGTATCAGGAGGTCGTTCACCTTTAGGACTCAGAGAAGTGGCAGACTGCAGCCCAGCTCCTTCCTAGCGACAAAGACATCTGGGCACTAACTGGCCGCGGTAGTGACTTGGAGCCAAGGGGAGGAGAATGTCAATGTGTTCGGCCTCCCCGCACGGACCTGCAGTAATGAATGTCCACAGTCTCGTATCATGGTTAAGGCATGGATTTTGTTTCCAATGTTGGTTAAATCACTTCCCTTAGTTAGTGTCTCATATAGCTTTACTTTGTTTTTAAGTTTATTTATTTTCTATGAGGGAGAGAGAGAGACGAAGAGATAGACACCCTGACAGGGTCCTACCTGACCCACTTCCAGCCTGGCCCCTTGGACAGCATTTCCTACCAATTTCAAGTTGAATTTTGGGCGTAAATGGAAAAGTATCAAAGCCTAAAGGGTATGAGACCTCTTCTTCTTTAGACCTCAAAAGATCTGAGGGTAAACATGCAGGAAAAAAAGTGATGTTTCATGAGCATTTGTGTTCCTCGTCAGGTGGTCTCTGTCAGCTTTTAGCTGGTGTGGACGCTGCTTTTGCAAGTGGGGTTAGACATTTAAATGGCTTGACATTTGCCTCGTGGTGGTTTCAGGCTGTTAGGAAAGATGTCCCAGTGCTTGAGGGCTGGCAACCCCTTTCTTGTGCAGATGAGGAAATAGAGGCCCAGAGAGACTAAAGGAAGATGTGTGTGGCAGTTTGCTGTCTGCCTGTCTGCCCGGGCCTGTGTTTTTACCACTACTGCCTTTTTTTTTTTTTTTTTTTTGGAGAGGTTTTCGCTATAGGGTGCGTGCGCTCACCA